TATTATGATTCCTATCATCATTATTAATCTATTGCGATTTTTCACTTTTTTTGTCAGATATTGGTGGGAGAACCGTGATGTCTTCACTTCATGGCAGCGCCGTGCTCTGAGAAGTGATTCATTTTCCCGTGTCATTTGTGACAACACACACATTAAAGAAGTGTCCAGGGACATTTTCAAAATGAACCGCTATCCAAGAGATTTTGTGAGCTGTGGAAAAATCAAGAGTCTGGATTTGTCAGCTTGGAAAGAATAAAACAGCAGAAGGATGAGGCAGGAAGTGTGGGACAGGACCTTGAATCTGAAGGGAGGACCAGGAACCCAGGTGACTATAGCCCCTTTCTCTCATGCTCTAATCTAAAACAGTGGTTCTTAACCTTTTTGAACGAATTGCCCCCTTGAGCCAATGAGGAAGTTGTCATCACCCCCCTCCCCCAACATCACCTCTCAATCACAACATAGGAAATAATTCTTCAATTTATGTAAACCCTTTTTTGTTTTCTTTAAAATTGTCATCAGGACATATCGATGCAAATAATTTATTTTCAGTCTTTTCCCATATCTCAACTGTTTGAAAAATTTTGGTGCCACCCATCACTTTATTCCCAAACTTCGTGATACATGTATTTCATTATTATCTTATTTATTCAAGACACTTAAATGTAATGACCACTGAAAACAAAATTCAATTGCAAGAAAGTGAAATGCCCGAAAAGAAAAAGAGTAACATTTAATGATTGAATTACAAGTGAAATTTAAGATGCAAAAAGAAATATAAAAAGGGTAGAGGCTGCTGCACAATGCGCATGAAGATAAGCAATGCGTATTCACATATGTATGGCGTTCTTTACTGAAGCTAGCTGGAGGAACATTTGAAAACACAATTCAATCCACTAATAGTGAGCGATCTGATGTTTTTGTATGACAGATATGCAGCTGTTCACTGTACGAAAAAGTCTCAAAAGTGTCCCCAAAACTTCTCGCTCTATCGCCCCCATATCGCCCCCTTTTTGTTCCTTCGCCCCCATATCACCCCTTTTTGTTCCATCACCCCCCTGAAAAATGAAATCGCCCCCTGGGGGGCAATATCGCCCAGGTTAAGAACCACTGGTCTAAAACATAAAACAAAATGCTGCTAACCAGCTTCCATTGTCAAGGACAGTTCATTTTAGGTGGAGTACTATAAACCAAGTGCTGAGAATCAAATAGAATGGGGCAATAAACAAACCCTATAAGTAAATACATAAAAAAGTTGAGGTTTCCATGTATTTGTTAGAATCCTGACTAACTTCCCCAACTACCACATTTTCCTGAAGTAAAAAACATTTGGATCAGTTGCACTATTTCCAAATGGGAGCATTCATGGGGGGTGCGGGTGGGGGCAAAAAGGTCAGGATAACCAGTCAAAGGCCTTTCTTAATGCATCAAGTGAACAAAATTCTCAGCCCAGCTCACCTTATATCTTACCTTACAAGGCTCTTGTTGTGGGGAAAATAGGAGGAGGATATGTGTTGGATATGTTCACCACCTTGAGTTATTTGTAAAAGTAATAAAGGCAGGGTATTAAATAAATAAAATGTGTAAGAAAAGGATGAGGTTTTGATCCCACAATTGGGAGACTCTTGTAGAGAGTTGGTGCCACAACTGAGCACTGTTATGTTGTCTGTCAACTCTCCCACAGGGAAGGAACCTTAAACATACCCAGCTTGATCTGTAGTTTTTTTACAGACCAAAACTAGCACACTGAATTGTAGCTAGAACCTATTGGGAACCATTGCAAAATCAGTACATGTTATGTGTGAATAGGAGCTTTCATCTGCCAACAAACAGGCTACTTCATTTTGCAACAACAGCTGTTTTTGAATAGTTTTCAATGGTAGCAGCATGTAAAGAGCATTCCGATAATCTAATCACTACCCTGAGCTTCTGTTCCATGAAACTATTTTGTTAGCCAACAATGAGAACTCAAACATTGGATCAGGTGCACTGTGTTAACTTTGACCCTTAAGAACAATCTGAATCAGGAAGTAGACATTTTCATTCTCTTTAGAATAAGCTTTTTACTGGGGTTCTGAAAAATTTACAGACAGGAAGCTGGATTTAAACACTTCTCTACAGTTATGTATACAAAATAATGGCATTAGTTGGGCATATAGCACTGTCACTTATAAACTCTGGGTATGGGTATACAATGTATATGGATTAACTGCTTAAAATCAGTGTTGTATTCTAATAATTGCTTAGGCATAGCTGGGAGAAAGATCTGATTATTTTTAAAGTGAACTGTTGATAGAATCACATTATTAATAAAAATGGATAAATACAAAAACCTGTGTCAATAGTTTTTGAATTCAGAAATATAAAAAGGTAATATGTTTATAGGCTGCTGTTTTATATGGTACAATATTTCTGATTAGTATTTGTTCTTCTGGTTTTATGTTAAATAGACCTCCCTAAAGCACAATAAGTATGCATTGACCCTCATTTCTCTCCAGATTCAAACTTTTTGGATTAGAAATGTGCAAATGAGCATATATTTAGAATAGAATAGAGCTGGAAGGGACCTTGGAGGTCTTCTGGTCCAGCCCCCTGCTCAAGCAGGAGAACCTATACCATTTCAGACAGTGACTGTCTACTCTAGTCTCTTCTTAAAAACCACCAGTGATGGAGCACCCACGATTTCTGAAGGCAAGCTGTTCCACTGGTTAATTGTCCTCACTGTTAGGAAGTTTCTCCTTAATTCCAGGTTGCTTCTCTCTTTGATCAGTTTCCAACCATTTGTTTCTTGTCCTGCCTTCTGGTGCTTTGGAGAATAATTTGACCCCCTCTTCTTTGTGGCAGCCCCTCAAGTACTGGAATATTGCTATCATGTTACTCCTATTTCTTCTTTTCTTTAGACTAGCCCAGTGATGGCAAACCTTTTAGAGACTGAGTGCCCCAACTGCAACCCAAAACCCACTTATGCATCGTCGAGTGCCGGGTGGGTGTGGTCCATGGGCTGGGTGTGGCTCATTGGCTGGGCGTGGCCCATTGAGTGGGTGTGGCTGCGGTGGTAACTTGGCAGACTGAGTGGGACTAAAAAGTTCAATCAATCAATTCCAACTTTACAAGATTTTTTTTTCCTGCGAGAAGTTGAAATTGACTGATTGAACATTTTTTTTTTCCACACGGCGGCAGAGGCCTAAAGCAAAAAGGTTTTATAAAACCCAGCTGAAGGCCTAGGACTGGGGCGACGGTGTGCGTGCTCACAGAGAGGGCTCTGAGTGCCACCTCTGGCACCCGTGCCAGAGGTTCGCCACCACTGGACTAGCCAAATCCAAGTTCTGCAGGTATTCTTTATATGTTTTAGTCTCCAGGCCTTTGATCATCTTAGGTGCTCTTCTCTGAACTTTTTCCAAAGTCTCAACATCTTTTTTGTAGCGTGGTGACTAAAATTGGTTGCAGTATTCCAGGCATGGTCTTACTAGGGTTCTATAAAATGGTACTAAAACTTTGTGTGATCTTGATTCTATGCCTCTGTTTATGCAACCCAGGACTGTATTAGCATTTTTGGCTGCTACTACACACTGCTGGCTCATAGTTAAGTGATCATCCACTAAGACTCCAAGGTCCCTCTCACAGTTACTATTTTTGAGCCAGGTCTCGCCTAATCTGACAAAAAGTAAAATGCATCAGTTTCCAGGGAAACTTTTGAGCATTTTTTTAAAAATGCAAGGGATTACAGTATCTTTGCACAGACCTTTTCCTTGTCACCATTGCTAGCATCCTTGTCTGACCTGCGGTAAATAACACTGGCAAAGTTCCAGAAATTCTGTTCTATTTGTCTCAAGCATAACAAGAAGGGAATTGCAACAGTATTGCATGCACTCTCCAAATAGAGAATCTTCTATAATTTAATTGCCTTGTATGATTTGAAAAAGTGGATATCTTGAACATCGCAGAGCAGCTATTTTAATTTGGCATTCCTTTCGCATTTCTCCAGATTAAGCATGAGCAATGGCAGCAAGGGAAAACAGCTAAAGCAGATTAAAGAACGCTTTCTCAAAAACAAAAATTCCAGGTTGCTGGCAGACCTTGCTGAGATGTTCTTCTATAGGGAGAAGAGAAAGAGAGAAAAAATAGAAAACTAATAATGGCCTCATAGGAACAAAACAGCCAAGCTCAATAAGACCAATAGCTCTTCTGGCATGTCCTCCACCTCACTCTATTCATTGTATTTCACCAAAATTCTCTCTCCTTTGAACAAAATGTTGAAAGCTATTCTGGTAAGACTGAATTGCTGCTTGCAAAGCTAAATGACAAGGGTGCTTTAATAGGATAAACTGAATAACTTATCTGGAGAAGAGGATCTCTAAGTGAGGAAAGATAAAGAGGGTTATACAGAATCCTTATTAATTTTTCTTTCAAAAAATTTTTCAGTGATGAAGTTGAGGCTGGTTTAGGAGCAGAACATTGAACCTGCCCTTGGTGCTGACCTCAACACCATATTAGAAGGCAGCCTCTAACAAAATTGGCCTCTCCCAAATATCCCCCATAATGACCCAACTGGGGATGCAGCAAACTATCTTCCTTTGTTCAGCAGCTCATAGTGATTGCAAAAATGCAGGTAGTGGCTGCTTAAGATCAGCATTAGGGGAAAAGATGATCCATAAAAATGTTATTTAAGAGTTCAGATAAATGCAAGATCCACTCTGGGTTAGTTCAGAGGTTTACTTTTCTGAGTGTTTGGATTCGTGATGGAGCCCATCTTCTAGGAACTTCTCTCTGTGCTTTCAGCTATTGTCTGTGTGGTATTTATATGGTGCTTGTTGTACATCGCTTTTTAGATGTTGATTGGGGTGTTGATGGCTATTAAGATCAGCAACTTTATGTCGTGATTCCGACAGATAAAACTCTTCAAAGAACTTCGAAGCATTGTTTACCTTAAAGAATCTTTATTTTGAGTAGCATAGCATCGGCAGTCCATAATTGAAGCCAAAAATTAAATTCCCTTCCCCTGAGCACATAGTATCAAAGCACAATTCCCTCCTCTAATTAACAGTCATTCCCCAATTAGCATGAAGCTAAATCACATTCCCCAATTAGCATGAAGCGCGGGATTCCTCTCCCGTTCTCCAGCCCGCCAATTTCTTATCAGCTCTGGTTACAATAACCTTGTCTCTCACACTGGGTCCAGCGTTGTTATGTCTAGCTGGACTCTCGCTCACATTCCCCCTCCCAGCATCATCTAACTCTAAAAGCAAAAGGTAAAAGATAGCTACATTTCCATTTGTTGTCAATGCAAAAACATCCGATGTTAGCAGCGTTGACATCTGACCCCTCTTGCAAAAAGGATAAATTCTGTAATATAAACAAAAGCACAGGTTAGGGATTGCCTCAGTTTGTTAGGGTGTTTCTTATAAAACCTAGTAATGTGTCTGTTGAGTCCGTCGTGAAATGGTAAGACACGAGAAGCAGTTGTAGTTCTCAGGAAACCTTTATTCTTCAGTTCAGCTTACATTGGAATATGGCGGCAAACGCCCAAAACTCACGGCCTCCTTTTATAGGACTTTCCGGGTCAATGTGTTACTTTTCGCACGCCAGTACTTGTGCATGCGCACAAGCACTGGTGACAGCCTGTCTGGTCCCGGGCAGCTTGCACCTGCCCGGGACCGCCTGCAATGCCCCGAGCCTGCTTGCAAGGCTCAGGACATAACACCCCTTTCCCCTGGGCTAAAACTACGACCAATGCCATAATAATAAACAACCCATTTTCTTAATGCAGTGCTCTACTCCCCCATTGTTCCTACTCTTCTACTGACTCTTTTTAGCTAGTAGTGTTATGTAGTCCTCTAAGTACTTAGGAGATTTCCTTGCTCTCTGTGACCTCCTAAGCTCTGGGTGTCTGGCAGGTGCCCCTTGACTGAGGGGTGGCGTGTGCCTGTTTCCCTTATCATGCCTTGGTGCCTCCCAAGGACCGTGCCCCAATGCCTGGCCTGCTTGCTTGCCCACCGGGCTCGTCAGGCCAGGGCTTCTTCCAGTGTATGACCTAGTTGTCCCGCCTAGCTGTAGGCTCTCTGGCCCTTCTAAGTGACTGTCACTGTTGGGCGTTTCTGTAGAACCTCCTAGGTCCGTCCAAGACCTGTCAGGAGGCTGTCTATCCCCTGAATCCCGTTCTGTGTCCGGGCTTGTGTGGGTTTCAGTACTGTCCCAAAACTCAGTTGTCCCCTGAGTGTAGTCAGAGGTGTTGTAGTCGGGATTTGGTTCCTCGACCACCTCCCTGTGTGTTTGCCCCCTTCTAGGGACAGGGTTGAAGTCAGGCCAACTAGGAGGAGTGTGTGCCAGCTCTCTTGCAGGGAATGGATTGTTGGGATGCTCCCGGGTATTCTCTCTGACTGGAGTACTGAGTGATGCGGGTGAGAAGTGATCATGCCCCCGGGGTGACTCCCTGGCTGGAGTAGGCATTGATGCCTGGGTTCTAGTTGGGCTCCATGACTTCCTGTTGGGAGCAATTGCGGAATCTCGGGATGGGCTGATTGTGGCTTCCCCATTGATGATGGGCATCATTCCATGCCCCCCCCTTTGCCCAAAGGGCTCCCCCTCCCCCCCTGGAAAAGACCCAGGAGTCTCAGCGGGAAGGTCCCGTCTAGGGCGAAGTTGGTCAATGTGCCGACGCAGGACACGACCGTTGTCCAGGGATACCTCGTAGGATAGAGGACCTGTGACCCTGGATATAGATGCGGGGACCCATGTATGACCAGGCCCGTAATTACGAGTCCAAACCGGGGCACCCACAAGTAGTTGCCTAGGTTCCCTGGGGTGTGAGACAGAAGGAGGCAGTCTGTCCGGATGCAACCGGTCAAGCTTGGTAGTCAGTTTGCGCCCCCAACGAAGTTCAGCTGGGCTTCTCCCTGTAGAAGTAGACGGTGTGGTGCGATAAGAAAGGAGGAAGTCAGCCAACCTGTGATGCCAGTCCCCATAGGTGAGCTTCTTCAAGGCGTCCTTGGTAATGCGAACCATGCGTTCAGCCATACCGTTGGTGGACGGGTGGAAATGTGCAGAAGTGGCATGACGAATCATGTTAGCCTGCAAGAAACCTTGGAATTCGGAGGAAGTGAATTGAGGGCCGTTGTCAGACACAATGATGTCTGGGAGCCCGTGTGCAGCAAAAATCCCCCTCAGTACCTGAATAGTCGTTGCAGTGGTGGTGGAAGAGACAGGTACAACCTCAAGCCATTTTGAATGGCTGTCAACGAGGACCAAGAAGAATTGACCCTGAAAGGGCCCAGCGTAGTCAATGTGCACCCTAGACCATGGAGACTGTGTTTCCTCCCATCTATGCACAGGAGCTTGGGGCATTTCAGGGCGTGAGCGTTGACAAAGGTGGCAAGCATGCACCTTAGCTTCTATGTCTTTGTCTACACCAGGCCACCACAAGTGGCTGTGTGCAAGAGCCTTCATTCGAACAATGCCAGGATGACCCTCGTGGAGGGAATCTAAGACCCTAGTCCTCATTGAGGTGGGGATGACAACTCTGCTTCCCCAAAGCAGACAACCCTGAGAGGTGGACAACTCGTTCCTTTTAGACCAGAAACTCTGAAACTCAGGACTAGGACAGTGCTCAGGCCATCCAGACAAAACCCAAGAAAGGACACGTGAAAGTGTGTGATCTGTGCCTGATTCAGCGGCTACATCCCTGGCATTCAGGGGGGACTCGGGCAAGGCTTGAATGGAGAGAATATTGATGGCTGGTGCGGGGTCAGCCTCTATTACCGGCAGGGGTAATCTACTGAGGCCATCAGCATGGCCCATTTCCTTCCCAGGCTTGTGAAGTAGGGAAAAATCATATGCAGACAAAAAGATAGACCACCTGAGCATCCTGGGGGAGATGATTTGGGGAGTTTGTTTACGTGTGGTAAACAGTCCCAGCAAAGGCTTATGGTCAGTGAAGACCGTGAAATGCCTACCATATAAAAAATCATGGAATTTTTTAATTCCTGCAACAACAGCTAAGGCCTCCCTGTCTATTTGAGCATAGTTGCGCTCAGCTGAAGACAATGTTCTGGAGTAATATGCAACTAGAACCTGAGTTCCATCAGACCTGAGGTGGCTCAGAACAGCACCTACCCCATAAGGGGAAGCATCACAAGCGATGCACACAGGAAGGGACTCATTAAAGTGAGCAAGTACACTGTTAGAAGTGAGCAAGGCCTTGACCTCGTTGAAACTTGCCTCATGTGTCTGTGACCACTGCCACGCTGCCTGTTTATCTAATAGCCTGTGAAGAGGCTCAGCTACACTAGCCTTGTGTGGAAGAAAGGAATTGTAGAAATTCAGAAGACCCAGAAAAGCCTGTAGTTCGGCCTTAGACTTTGGCCTAGGGGCTTGCATAATGGCTTTTAGTTTGGATTCAGCAGGATGAATCCCAGCAGCATCAATTTTGAACCCCAGAAACTCAGTAGAAGGCACCCCAATTTTACACTTGTCCTTCTTGAGTTTGAGTCCCGTTTTCCTGAACCGTAATAGGACAGCCCTTAGCCTTTCAGCTAGAATGTGTGTGGAGTCTCCTGCAATTAAGACATCATCAAAATAGGGGCAAACCCCTGGTATACCCCGTAGTGTGTTTTCCATTACGCTTTGGAAAATCCCAGGAGCGACATTTACTCCAAATTGAAGTCTCTTTACCTTGAAAGCCCCTCTGTGGGTCACAATAGTCTGAGCTATAGCAGCGTCATCATCAACAGGCAGCTGTTGATATGCTTGAGCTAGGTCAAGCTTTGCAAAAACGCGCCCCCCCTTGAGGGAGGCCAGGATATGACTGACCACAGGAACAGGGTAGGCATGTTGCTGCAATGCCTTATTTAGAGTGCATTTGTAATCAGCACAGATGCGAATGTCCCCATTTGCCTTAAGAGGCGTGACAATGGGGGTCTCCCATGGACTGGAGTCAACTGGTTCTAGAATTCCTTGTTGGATCAGTTTATCCAATTCAGTGTCAATTTTACTCTTTAAAGCAAAAGGGACCCTTCTTGCTTTAATTCTAATGGGAGTGACAGTGGGGTCTAGCTTTAAGGACACAGGAGGTCCTTTGAACGTGCCCAGCTGGGGGCTGAAAACATCTGCAAATTCTTTGCAGACTTCCTGTAGGTCGAGTGTTTGTAGGCTGTTGAGCCCTGTGACGTGTATTCCCAAGGCCTCAAACCAATCGAGTCCTATGAGACTCGTTCGTTCACCCCCTACTACTAATATGTCTAGTGGACCTTCAAAATCCTTATACTGTACGTTAAGGGTGGCCTCCCCCTTAACACACACTCTGGAGTTTTGAAAGTCTGTTAACACAATATCAAAAGGCCTCAGCTTGGCCTGAGTTCCACTACCAGAACAAATCTTCCTAAATGTGTGCATAGAAATGATCGAAAGTGCAGACCCCGTGTCCAGTTCCATAGTTAATGGAACCCTTGTAGCTTCACCTTAAGTGACAGCTTTTTCTTAATGGGCTTGTGTGTGCCTGTCCTGTAGATGCTTCTTCGCGAAGCGCAAAACCCCACCCTATTCTGGCTGGGGACCCTGGTACCTTTCAGGCACAATTCTTCCTGAGGTTGTACCTTCTGGCGGCCCAGGCACACAGCTGCAATGTGTTCTTGTTTTCCGCACGCCCGGCAGATAGCGAAGCGGAACTTGCAGTCGGCTCTCTTGTGGCGACCTCCACAACCGATGCACTTGGGGAGAGCTGAAGAGCTTCCTCTTGGTTTTCCTTCCTTTGTGGGGTGGAGACGGTCCACTTCCTCGTCCGGATCCTCCTCGGAGTTCCTTTGGACTTCTTCCTGGTGCACGGATGCAGCATCTGGGCTGTTTCTGATCGGCCGCATGTTCTTGATGGCGCCGCCCGCTGCTTCTTCTGCGGTGACCTCTCTCAAGGCATCTTGGAAGGACAAGTCCTCCTTGGCGAAAAGTCTCTGTTGCAACTCTCGATGCCTTAGCCCGCATACGAACCGGTCCCTCAATCGTTCTTTGAGGTCCTTGAACTCGCAATGTTTGGCGGCTTTCCTCAGTGCGGCGATGTACTCCTTGGCCGATTCTCCGGGTCGTTGATCTCTCTGCTCGAAGATGTGGCGCCACGCGATGATAGACATCTTAGGTTGGAAGTGCTCCTTCAGTAACTTCTTTAGATCTGCGTAGCTGACAGACTCTAAAGGAACAGGTGCTGCGAGGTTCTCCGCGATTTCGAATGCGTCTTGACCCCAAACACACAGCAGGGTGGCAGCCTTCAAGCTCTCTTCCCTCACCTGGTTCACTTTGAGGTAGTTTTCCACTCTGGCTGCGTAGGACTCCCACCTCTCTGGATATGAGACGTCGAATTCCGAAAGCCTTCCAATCTTCGCCATTTCGTATCAGGAAGGGTCTATCAGCCAGCCTACCCCCGAATGCATGCTGGATTGGCGGGTAGCTGCCGAGTCAACGCCATTCCTGCCGCTCCGGACTCACTCGGGTAAGCTTACACCTTCTCTTTTCCGATGTAAGGCATCCCACCTTCGTCGCCAGTGTTGAGTCCGTCGCGAAATGGTAAGACACAAGAAGCAGTTGTAGTTCTCAGGAAACCTTTATTCTTCAGTTCAGCTTACATTGGAATATGGCGGCAAACGCCCAAAACCCGCGGCCTCCTTTTATAGGACTTTCCCGGGTCAATATGTTACTTTTCGTGTGCCAGTACTTGCGCATATGCACAAGCACTGGCGACAGCCTGTCTGGTCCCGGGCAGCTTGCACCTGCCCGGGACCACCTGCAATGCCCCGAGCCTGCTTGCAAGGCTCAGGACATAACAGTGTCTATCAGCTTTCACATCGCTAGACTTCAGCGAAATGGCTTTAGACAACGAATATCCTTTCCATTGTACTAAATACTGCAATTTCCTTTTAAACATTCTAGAATCAACAATACGCTTCACTTCATAGTGAGTCTGTCCTGCCATCACAAGGAGTCTGGGTGCCTTCTAATTCTGTTAACACTGGCTGAAATTCCAAGCATTCCTAAGAGAGAGGGGAGCTTAGCCTTTCCACCGGTGCTGTGGCTGGGAGAAGAGGTTAATTGCTTTCCTTAGTGACTTGTTGCTAGGGCAAGTGGACTAAGAAAACAGCATTCGGTTGAGAGTTAATTGCCGTTTTATAGCCCTCGAAGGGGCCCTATGCCGCTCTCTTTGGTGTTAGAAGTCAGACTTTACATGCAAGAAATAAGAGTGTGGATTTTTCCTTTTCTACTTAGTAAGGTAAACATCACAGTATCTCTTTGATTTAAACATTAGCTTGTAAACAGATCCAAAGGCCATTTAAAAACAGACACAAGGCACTTTATAACTTTTACTTTTCCTTAAAACGTTGGCTAGCATGCAGAATTTGACTGGTAATGAATCCTTGCCAGCAGAGGCTTGTCAATATGCAAGTAAACCTTGTCATGCAGTGGCTACTTGCAGAGTTAACAGCGAATTAGCAAAACAATGCATCTGAATCACACCTTTGAAACACTGTCTGCCGAACAAACACATTGACTTTGCTTTGCAGGCTTTAGTGGGAGACTGATCCCAGAGATTACTTTTGCAGGCAATTGAAGGAGATTAGCCACATCAAATTACTACTTGCAAGAAAATATCTGCTTTACTTCCTTAAGGGCTGATGTAGAGAAAGACTAATAAGTTTACTTTCTTCCTTCAAACTGTTGCAGGAGATCAGAGGAGAATTAATCATATCAATTTACTATTCTGTTCCAGACAGAACAGACTGCTTTCCATCCAATCCAAACAGATAGATAACTCAGAAGAATAAACAGAAAATATCACTTTATTCTGGGAATTCTAAACAATAACTCACATTTACGTAGAGATACGTCCAGAAGTATATTTGCAATATTGGTTTATTCCACAGGTAAATTGATATTGAATTTTCCCCTCTTCTTCTTCCTGAGCATCACATGTTGGCATATGATCCCCAAGCCGTGTGGCTAGGAGACATGAGGCTGGATGAACAAAGGCATTCCCATCTGGCTTGTGTCCAGGAAGTCTCCCAATGATCAATGACCTTTTGAGACTCCTCCCACTGACCCATCAACATACCTAGCATTTAACCCAATAACTGCCAGATATTCTAACATACTGATCCATGCTCTCTAGTTAGGGTTACATAGAGCTATATGGTCCAGAATAACAGGTATATCAGCATTAAGGTTTCTTTGTGCCATACCTTGCAGAGATTTGTTTATTTTTGTTTATATTTCATATTTCTAAACTTCCCATCTCTTTTAAAGAAGGGCTCTATGCAATGTTTTAATTCAGTCTCATGCATTATTATGCAACTGAATCTACATAACACATCATAAAACTATTGAAAATGATAAAGAAAACAAAAGAGTCTTCTTGGTGCATAGGATGAGATTTGAGAAAAAAAGACAATCAAAAGCATTCTCTGAAAAGATTTCCCATGAAATTCTTATGAAGACAGATGCTTCCATATAAAGTATTAGCTTAATACAAGCAATCATTATCCATGTCATTTTTGGTTTCCCCCACCCAATCATCAACTGACTTCTAAAATGATTAAATTCTTAGATTTAAAAAAAAAATCTCTTTTGCTTCCTCTTTGAAGATGATTGGCCAAGAAATGTACATGTACTCTGCGGTCAAAATGAATGGGTAAATCTGTTAATTCAGTTTCTTCTCAGTTCCTCATATTTGGTTCATCTCATTCTTCTACAACTTTGAGATCTTTTTTTTAGAAAAAAATAGATTGCAGTCAACTTTTAATGCATTCTTTTGCACATTTTCCCAAACCATACAGTTTTTATCTACAATTTTGACAAATGCACATAATGTTTGCAAACAGTTTCCCTAATAAATCTGTAGTGCACCTCTGTATATATCTTTTCAGGAATGGATGTATTTTCCTACAGAGTTTTCCTTCATATAGGTTTGCTTTCCAGTAGGGAAACTGTATTACAAGAACTAGAGAAGGACAAATGCTAAAGGACAACCTAGTTTCCATGAGATGCTAATGCGTGAGGCTGAATACTTATGAGCACCATTTGATATTTTAAAAGCTTATACTATAAACATTGGGGTTGGAGTTTTCAAAATGAAACACCCAGCATTAGTTTTGATTTGTCTGTGGTAAGCTAAGCCACTGCAGAAGTTATGATGTGCAAATAGCAAAGAATGTAAATTAAGCATGGAAGAAAACCCAGCATGTTATTTTCCTTCCTTTTGGTTACTTTTTTTTGTTACTTACGGTTACTTTTTCCTGCCCATCTAGCAGATTGAAAGCACACAAATGCAAGTAGATTAATAGATACCACTTTGGTGGGGAAATAACAGCATTCCGTGTGCCTTTGGCATATAGCCATGCTGGCCACATGACCACAGAAAATGCCCTTGGACTATGCTGGCTCTCTCGGCCAAGAAACGAAGATGAGCACCGTGCCCTGGAGTTGGACACAACTGACAAGGAAACTTTTACCTTTACTTTTGGTTTGTGTATTCGTTCAAAGGTGCAAAATACCTGTGATATTGAATTCCTGAGGAAATACATCCTGCAGCTTCTCTTTCAAGAGGTCCAAGGCCACCAGCCTATATTGAGCAGCTTTCACATGCGACCGAGTTTTTCCTACAGGTCGTCTGAAAGACACTAGGATATCTGAAGGGCGTACTGTCTCTTTCCTTAGTTTTTCTTCTAACCTGGTGAATCAGAAAATACCTATATCAATACTGCAGAATAAAAGTTTTTCCTCCCACAAAGTGTCTGTTACAATGACCCAGCCAGAGATGCTAACTTGAGAGGCAGAGACTGCCTGATGTTATCTAATGAAATCTAGGGATGAACTACGAGGGCTTCATAATCCTAATCTAATACTTTACATTTCTTCATGTCATCATTCGCCCTTTGATTTCTTCCTATTGCCTAAAATGGATTTCAGTATGCAAGGCTTCTGTGCCTCTAATGATGGGCAGGCATGCCTGTTGGTATTTTTATTCCAACTGTATGCTGCCAAATCAATGTCATACCATGGGATTCACAATCACAATGAACAATAAAAATATCCACAATACAAAAGCTGTAGCAAAACATGCACAATAAAGATACGGAATAAAAACAGGAACAGCTGGAATACTTAAATCAGTTTGTAACTGGCAGAAATAGCCATGTTTTCTAGATGAAACAAAATGGCACATTGCCTGAAACTTTTGTGCAAATCTTACCAGTTCTAGGTATATTCATAGGCAGCATCTACTAATTTCTTGGCTTCTTCCACATTCTGCAGAAGGAATCGAGTTTCCAGTTTCTTTGCAATGTCTAAAAGAGACACTTGGTTTGGATTTTGTTGAAGGAAACACTTCAATCAAATTCCACAAAAACAAACTAATGAGAATGTAGCTTCACTAACTTGATCCATAACCTGAATTCTAAGTTGCATTTCAGCATATCTAGAAGCCACCAGCTTGGAGAAGTCCTGTTGTGATATCAATATATATTTCTTTAAGTAATCATCTATTAAAATTGACTCTGTGCTCACATAGTACTTTAAACCTTGTCAGTTACTAATGATATGGATGTGTGTCTGAAATCTACCAGGAAAAGCTTACACAGGTCATGCCTATGTAATAGGTTGTTAAGGGTGTGTATCTCTTGGTGGTCCTTCTCTATACTGTAATACCACCAAAGATTTGGAATAGACTCTAAACATGAGTGTTGATGTAGGGAATGTAGGATGGCCCATGTGTCGTATGCTTTCATGCAAATGATATAAATTAGATTCAGCATTCATGTGATTTGGTATGTACCAATTCCATCATTTTCACAGAGATGCTATGATGCACAGACATCATCCTGGCAACCACTAGAAACTTCTGCTTCCAATGAGAGTTCTCTGCAAGGGAGATCAAAATAATCAGGATAGCAGCCACACAATTGAGAGATGAAATCCATGGATGTTATAGCCAGCAAGGTTCAGAAATACTGCCTTAGGGATATTTTCCACCAAGAAAGGAAATGCAGACTGAATTTCTGCATTGGTTCAAACATTAGCAAATTATCTTTAAATAATCATGTCTTTTCCTGCTGCAGTGAATTGATCACATGGAGGCAATCAAAACACATTTGTTCCTGCAGCTTGTTCTTAAATGATGAAAAAAAAATGATTTTTTACAAAAAATGCGGACACAGGCAGACCTCTACAGACATTCCAACTCTATTTTAAAAAGCATTTCTAAAGTGAAAGACCTTACCTTGTAAAGAAAGGTTATCTGCCTCTTGAGGCTTTACTGCTATTAGAATACCCAGAAGAACAAAGACCAGCCTCAGCCCTGGAAGAAAGCATAGGTTTCATGTGAGTTACTTGCAAATCATTTGGGAAAGTAATCTTTAACTGTCAAATTGAATTTTAATATAAATTTGGAATGTCAGAAGCCAGTTACTCTAGATCCACACACTTGGACAGGACAGTATGTGTGTATAAAAATACTTGCCCTAGATCTGCAATCTTCTTTCCTTTCACCCTTCTAGGAAAAATCTGGATCATCCATAGGTGGATCATCCACAAATAGGGCGGTCACCCTATTTTCTCCAGCCCAGATAGTGTAATTATATCCCTCATGAAAAAAAAATTGAAATAAAAATCTCCACCCCCTTATAAAAACATAAGCCCCACAATTGTGTTATCTATGGTTTTCTTGTTTCCCCTCCTTCTGTCTTTCTTTCAGTCTCTCTCCATTGTTTCTGCATACAATAGCAAGAAAAAAAATCTATTTCTCCTTCCTCTTTGCCCCTAGACATATGACAGAGAAAATTCCCAAAGTTGTTGAAATCGCTGCCACAGGAACTAAACCTTGAATGACTGTGAAACAGATCACAGCAACGCAAAAAGAAGAAGAAAATTGTAGGGCTGGCGGATGTTTAGAGCCCTAAAGGGGTCAGAGCAAGTGCATTCTGCAAAATAGAGGAAGGTTGTGAGACAGTCATTCTCAGGACAACAGGTGTCAATCACAGTCACAGTCAGAAGAGCATGCTGTATATGCACTTTCTTTGTTTTAGACCATTTCTGCAATGACGGTGTAGAACATCTTCATAGCATCACCTAGGCATTGTTGATAATCATGTAAAGCTCTGTCCACAGTTACTTATTGTGACCCAATTATGATAGGAGGAGCCACCAGGAGTCACCTTGTAGGATAGATAGACAGCTTAAAAATTTAATAAATAGGATAAATGACTGCAGCTGGCACTATAATTTGCTATTAGGCAAAAGAGTGAGTCATGTTATTTAGCCATAAAAATATCAAAGAATGGTACATGTTCTTCACAAACAGACTGCAAAGTTCCTAAGCCTATAAAATTATAATAAATAATTTTATTTGCTAAAAGAAAAGTTAAATACAGAAGGTTTTTGTTATACACTAGAAATATCACTCTGGAAATATTTAAAATATTAACACTTGTACCTATGATCATTCCATAAATATTCACAAAAGCTTGAAATACAAGGTAGTTTAGCCTTATTGGCATGTAGATACTTTGCTTCTATCCTGTTTGTCAAAATTACCTAAACCTCAAAAGCCTGCAATCAGCCCTGATTGAGCAAAAAGATGGAGAAAAAAGACTTCTTTTTATACTGTCACTTAAAGATGCAGTGGTTCTGTTTCCCACCATAGTTTTCCTAGTCAAAACAGAATGACTTCATCGAATTTGATGCTCTCCAGATACATTGAATTACAATACATGCTATCAGAATAAGAGCTGTAATCTAATATATCTGGTGGCCATCCAGTTGAGGAAGGCTGATATAGGGGAATTTACTAGTCAAGGAGATCTAATATAAAATTGAAGAAATGGAGAATACTCAAGTCCATTAGGTAGTTTCCAAGCAATGCACTAAAATAATTAACTTTAAGAAGCATTTCAAAATCACTTACTTGCCATCTTTTCTAATTCTGACCTTAGCTGCCTGGAAATCAAGTATTTTCTGAAAGATGGGAGGAGCCATTTACAACAGAAAAGTCACACCCCTTTTCTTTTTCCCTCCTTTCTTAAGACACATCCTACTGATAATGCTCTGAAATTGTAGGAGAGCATACAGCAGCTTTCCTAGGACTTTAGATCTTGTCTGCAAAAGTCCAGAGGATTACTAGAATAAATAAATTTCTCTCTGCCTTTTTGCTATAACGGTGGTCCAGATTTTTGCAGGTCAGATTTGGTGTCCTACTTTTCCCCAGCCTGGCATGCTTCTGATGTGCTGCAACCCAAATGTTTCTGGAAAGTACCTGGTAGGCTTTGCGGGAACAGAGCAACAACTCAGTTCAACTCAAGATACTTTGAGTTGAAATGAGCAAGAATCTGGTTGAGAATCTATGTGAAAAACAGGATCAAGACACAGCTGAGCATAGCAGACATTGGGAAGTTGGGTTTGCGGTACCAAAAGCAAAAATCAATTGTTCTGCAAGATCAGGAGAGGGATGGTGTATGCACTTCCTTTGCTGGAGGAACCCCACCGAGAACATTAAAAAAAAAACACTGGGAGATGAAAATATAGTCCCCTCCTCATATAATAAGATGAAGCTGAAGCAAACCTGAACTTTATATACTATTTCATAATACGAACGTACTATTTGTAATCTGCATATTTGTGCAATATGAAATTGTGAAGTAGATAGTTCTATGTATATTTGGAACATGAGTATTGTAACCGTGGGAAAAAGTCAGCGGACCATCTGACTACAGTCTTAGAACGAGAAAGGGTATAAAAGGTTGGGACTGGACCTGATTGATTTGCCATTGTCCTATAGCTGTCCTATTGGATTCTGCTATGTCATATGGTCCTCATTGCAATGGGTTATTAATGTACTTGATGATGTGTTATAATGCTTGCTATGTTTCAAATTATTAGCAAAATAAACCTCTGAATCTTAAAGTAAGAATTATTGTTTTGTATTACTGTCTCTTGTCTTTTTCATTGGGTTTTTCCATGACAACACACAAAAAAAGGAGGTGAATATACATGTCCCAGAATAATGTTGCAGGATCCAGTCTGGGTCAGTCACCAGGACCAGAGGTTTTAGTCTTCTGAGCTTCTGGACTCGTGCTGGAGTCATCTTCAGGGAACTTCTCTCTAGCTGGAGAAGTTCCCCAAAGATGGGCTCCAGCACGAGTCTGAAAGCTTGGAAGACAAAAGCTTTGGTCCTGCAACACCCCCCCCCCCCCGAAGCTTTAAATGTGTAGCATGATATTTTATGTCTAAAAACATATAAATTCTTCCATACTCATTACATTAGTCTCTTTTGGGGAAGCAACTTTATGCAAATCTTAGAAAAAGAGTAAGATATAATGGACAAATAAAATAAAGGCAGGAGAAGGAAGCAATGGAAACCTAAACCTAGTTTATGCCAACACCATTCACTCTTTTTCTTCACTATCATTGTTTCCACTCCTTTCTATAGATCACTCCCTACATTCTTTAAATATCAGCTGGAGCCTGGCACTGATCCTGGCGCTTCCGCTGAACCCTGACAGCCCTGCAGAGCCAGCCATCTCTCGCTTAGGCTTGTGTGGTGCTGCCACCGGTTCAGCTCATTCCCCTCCCCCACTACCAGTTTTCTAGGATGGTCGCGTACCACCTGCCAGGTGCCAATGTACCACAGGTGGTACCCGTAACACTGGTTGAAAAGCCCTAGAATAGACTACTGCCTTGGGCAGGGGGTTGGACTAGAAGACCCCCAAGATCCCTTCCATCCCTATGATTCTATCTTCTATGTGCAGGACTGCCTGTCCCCAGTTATTTATGTCCATGTCACAAGGTCTGAGTGGACATGCTTCAGGTCCCTTCTCTGGAAGAGAAGAGTGCCATCTAATGGGACCCAATTATATGTGCTTTCTCAATCACAGCCTACCTTATGGAACAATATCTCCCCTAAGATGCAGATGACCTTGTTAATTTTCTGGAGAGCCTTGGCTTGTATGGGTTTCATTAGTTTTTAGGATCCTCAGTTTTGTTGCAATGCTGTTTTTTTTAAATTTATTTCTTAAAATCAATTTTTATATTGTAAGCCACTCAGAATCACTACACTGAGATTGGTGGCTATATAAATTCTATAAACAAGCATTCTATTCACAGATCACTTGTTTGAGCACTAATGGTTCCAAATTCATTTTCGCCACATCTCAGATGCAATTGGGAAATAACCCTGCTTGAAATTCTGGAGATCTGTGGATGGGTTAGATGAACTTAAGAGTCAATTTGGGAGTGATTAAAAAGATTAACATTTGAAGTAATTACAACACATTTCCTTTAAAAGCAACGGTTAATATGGCCATGTAAGAAATTGCTGCTTCAGTTAAAAATGCTGCAATGCAACTTCCCCCCTCTACACAAGAGGAATTTTGACCACAATAAATGTGTCACAAAACCTTTGAGGCATTGATTCTCAACCCATCTCTAAGTTTGCACAACCCATTGAAATTGATTTAAAAATTATCTGTTTTAGAGATTTGTAAAATACATTTGATTACGAATTAACTAGGACCAGGTTCATATAAAGTATTTAACTACGCAAAAAAGTACACAAATTGCCAATCATGACATGCTATATGAATGTAACTATTGGACTCACAGTTGTCCTTCAGTGCGTGCATGTATTTCTGAGTTTAGTGAGATGCAGGCAATAGTTTTTAAATTAAAGATCCCTGTTTGCAAACCCAGAAAATTAGTAAATTCAGAATTAAGATCAATGTGTTACACAATACAAAGAAGGCATGGCATAGAATAGAAGGCAATTGTTGAATTTTGGACAATGCGCCCAAATTGATCAATATTATGGATTACTGTTAAATCCTTCATTCGCGTGCGAATGATGAAGACACATGGTAACAACTAACAATGCTTTATTCTCCTACTCCAACTCCAAGCAAAAAGCAAAAGGCACGGAGTCCTTTTTATAGGGCTTGAAACCCAGACAGAGTGAACCAATAAGAGTTCTTCTTTCTTTGTGCCTTGCGCATGTGCACAAGGCTGCGCCGCTCTGTCTGGTCCCGGGCAGCTTTTAGAATGCCCAGGACCGTTTGCAACAATTCTGGGCCTGCTGAGTTTCCTCATCAGGCCCAGGATGCAACAATTACGATTAGCAAGGAAGGCTGCAAGTAGCACAGGGACAACTAAGGTTGGTAACTAAAGGGTCATCTGTCATCTCCCCACTATTAACATCACCCTCTGGATCACTACTCCAGACCTACTCTGATGGTAGCCCCTGCTTTTCTTTTTTCTAATTTCTAATTGCTATTCAACTGGTGTTTTCTGACTCCTGTTGACATAAGCAGC